AACCTGTCCTTTATTGGGGGTGTCTTGCTAATTGCCTAAGATTTCCACCTGTTGTCTATTCCATTTGCACAACAGCATGTGAAATGTATTGTCAGTGTTGCTTCCTAAGTGGACAGTTTGATTTCACAGAAGTGTGATTGACTTGGAGTTACATTGTGTTGTTTAAGTGTTCCCTTTATTGTTTTGAGCAGTATATATATATATATATATATATATATATATATATATATATACATATATACATATATACATATATACATATATACACACACACACACACACACACACACACACACACACACACAGACATACACACCTGTTCTGAAAGGCACCAGAGTCTGCTACACCACTAAGCAAGAGGCACCACCAAGCAAGCGGCACCATGAAGCCCAAGGAGCTCTCCAAACAGGTCAGGGACAAAGTTGTGGAAAAGTACAGATCAGGGTTGGGTTATAAAAAAAATATCAGAAACTTTGAACATCCCACTTAGCAACATTAAATCCATTATTAAAAAATTGAAAGAATATGGCACCACAACAAACATACAAAGAGAGGGCCGCCCACCAAAACTCACGGACCAGGCAAGGAGGGCATTAGAGGCAACAAAGAGACCAAAGATAACCCTGAAGGAGCTGCAAAGCTCCACAGCGGAGATTGGAGTATCTGTCCATAGGACCACTTTAAGCCGTACACTCCACAGAGCTGGGCTTTATGGAAGAGTGGCCAGAAAACAACCATTGCTTAAAGAAAAAAATAAGCAAACACGTTTGGTGTTCGCCAAAAGGCATGTGGGAGACTCCCCAAACATATGGAAGAAGGTACTCTGGTCAGATGAGACTAAAATTGAGCTTTTTGGCCTTCAAGGAAAACACTATCTCTGGCGCAAACCCAACACCTCTAATCACCCCGAGATCACCATCCCCACAGTGAAGCATGGTGGTGGCAGCATCATGACTGGAAAACTGGTCAGAATTGAAGGAATGATGGATGGCGCTAAATACTGGGAAATTCTTGAGGGAAACCTGTTTCAGTCTTCCAGAGATTTGAGACTGGGACAGAGGTTCACCTTCCAGCAGGACAATGACCCTAAGCATACTGCTAAAGCAACACTTGAGTGGTGTAAGGGGAAACATTTAAATATCTTGGAATGGCCTTGTCAAAGCCCAGACCTCAATCCAATTGAGAATCTGTGGTATGACTTAAAGATTGCTGTACACCAGCGGAACCCATCCAACTTGAAGGAGCTGAAGTAGTTTTGCCTTTAGAAATGGGCAAACATCCCAGTGGCTAGATGTGCCAAGCTTATAGAGACATACCCCAAGAGACCTGCAGCTGTAATTGCTGCAAAGGGGGGGCGGGTGGTGAATAGTTATGCACGCTCAACTTCAAAGTGGTAGGCATGTTGTGTAAATCAAATGATACAAACCCCCCAAAAAAATCCATTTTAATTCCAGGTTGCAGGGCAACAAAATAGGAAAAATGCCAATGGGGGTGAATACTTTCGCAAGCCACTGTAGGGGATAATAACTTGGCAGGTAGGGGATAATTACTAGGCAGGTAGGGGATAATAACTTGGCAGGTAGGGGATAATAACTTGGCAGGTAGGGGATAATAACTTGGCAGGTAGGGGATAATAACTTGGCAGGTAGGGGATAATAACTAGGCAGGTAGGGGATAATAACTAGGCAGGTAGGGGATAATAACTAGGCAGGTAGGGGATAATAACTAGGCAGGTAGGGGATAATAACTAGGCAGGTAGGGGATAATAACTAGGCAGGTAGGGGATAATAACTAGGCAGGTAGGGGATAATAACTAGGCAGGTAGGGGATAATAACTAGGCAGGTAGGGGATAATAACTAGGCAGGTAGGGGATAATAACTAGGCAGGTAGGGGATAATAACTAGGCAGGTAGGGGATAATAACTAGGCAGGTAGGGGATAATAACTAGGCAGGTAGGGGATAATAACTTGGCAGGTAGGGGGATAATAACTTGGCAGGTAGGGGATAATAACTTGGCAGGTAGGGGATAATAACTAGGCAGGTAGGGGATAATAACTAGGCAGGTAGGGGATAATAACTTGGCAGGTAGGGGATAATAACTTGGCAGGTAGGGGATAATAACTAGGCAGGTAGGGGATAATAACTTGGCAGGTAGGGGATAATAACTTGGCAGGTAGGGGATAATAACTAGGCAGGTAGGGGATAATAACATGGCAGGTAGGGATAATAACTTGGCAGGTAGGGGATAATAACTTGGCAGGTAGGGGATAATAACTAGGCAGGTAGGGGATAATAACTAGGCAGGTAGGGGATAATAACTAGGCAGGTAGGGGATAATAACTAGGCAGGTAGGGGATAATAACTAGGCAGGTAGGGGATAATAACTAGGCAGGTAGGGGATAATAACTTGGCAGGTAGGGGATAATAACTGGCAGGTAGGGGATAATAACTAGGCAGGTAGGGGATAATAACTAGGCAGGTAGGGGATAATAACTAGGCAGGTAGGGGATAATAACTAGGCAGGTAGGGGATAATAACTAGGCAGGTAGGGGATAATAACTTGGCAGGTAGGGGATAATAACTTGGCAGGTAGGGGATAATAACTTGGCAGGTAGGGGATAATAACTAGGCAGGTAGGGGATAATAACTAGGCAGGTAGGGGATAATAACTTGGCAGGTAGGGGATAATAACTTGGCAGGTAGGGGATAATAACTAGGCAGGTAGGGGATAATAACTAGACAGGTAGGGGATAATAACTAGGCAGGTAGGGGATAATAACTAGGCAGGTAGGGGATAATAACTAGGCAGGTAGGGAATAATAACTTGGCAGGTAGGGGATAATAACTTGGCAGGTAGGGGATAATAACTAGGCAGGTAGGGGATAATAACATGGCAGGTAGGGGATAATAACTTGGCAGGTAGGGGATAATAACTTGGCAGGTAGGGGATAATAACTAGGCAGGTAGGGGATAATAACTAGGCAGGTAGGGGATAATAACTAGGCAGGTAGGGGATAATAACTAGGCAGGTAGGGGATAATAACTAGGCAGGTAGGGGATAATAACTAGGCAGGTAGGGGATAATAACTAGGCAGGTAGGGGATAATAACTTGGCAGGTAGGGGATAATAACTTGGCAGGTAGGGGATAATAACTTGGCAGGTAGGGGATAATAACTAGGCAGGTAGGGGATAATAACTAGTTAGGTAGGGGATAATAACTAGGCAGGTAGGGGATAATAACATGGCAGGTAGGGGATAATAACTTGGCAGGTAGGGGATAATAACTTGGCAGGTAGGGGATAATAACTAGGCAGGTAGGGGATAATAACTAGGCAGGTAGGGGATAATAACTAGGCAGGTAGGGGATAATAACTAGGCAGGTAGGGGATAATAACTAGGCAGGTAGGGGATAATAACTAGGTCCAGTCAGAAGAGGGAACTACAGAGGCCTGACAGGGATGATTTAACATCTATTTACAGATACAGCAGGGGGATTTCACACACCGTTCACAAACAGTCTCTACGGAGCACTTTGCTTTACTGAGAAAATGCTCGGAGGCTCAACCAGCTAAATAAACCGTTTAGTTTATTCCTCAAATACTGTACCACCACTGCCTAGTGTACATGGCGTGCGTGCGTGCGTCTCCTGAGCAAGAGGACAAAACCCAATGAACAGAACTGTACAATGAGGAAAGTAGATTCCATCACAGTCTAGACTCCTGTATAAGTTTCCCTACTCTTCTGTGGAGGAACTGTGTGTGGAGAGTGGACTAGACATGTGACCTAGTTGAATTAGTCATACTGCCAAGTTCCTCTTTCCCTTTCCTGTCTCGTTCTGCCTGTATACATAAATATGACCAGGGCTGTCTGCGACCAAAATAAATCCTGGTTGACCGAGTGTCATGGTCTTTCGACCAATCGATTGGTTAACAATTTTAACAGTGTATTTTTTTCCATATATAGACACCGTATGTTTGAATAAAATCAATTATATGTAGGCTATTGAGCTTGTCTGATGCTTTAAGCACTGCGATTAAAAATGAAGACACACAAATTACTAGAGTGAGCCAGAGATCAATATAGACTAACCAGACCGTCGCAGATTCTGCCGTTAAGCTCCTCATTTCTACACCAGCGGTCGGCAACCTTTTCCATTTGGTGTGCCAAGTTACCGTATCATTTCTACTGATCTGCGTTGCGTTGCCAGTTATGGTTTTCATATGCACATTTTCATGGAACTGTTTCATTTCATTTATAATAAAGTCTTCATACCTCAAAATCATTGTCATGCGTTTAATCTAAATTCTATTTATATGAAAATAATACAAACCAAAACTTCTATTGCCATTGCCAATATGTAAAAATAGCCTACATAAAGCCATCAAATAAAAACATTGAAGCCTGCAGGTAGAAAATATCCTGATAAATATCCTATAAATCACATTGGCTACGCATAGCCTGTCTGCGAGGAACTTGAAACATTTAATCAACAAATAACTTGGTCCGGCAGACTTCGTTTACTTGCTGTTTGAGGCGAAGAAAAATTTACTTTGAGAAGGTCCACAGTAATGGAGCGTTAAGCCAATCAGAAATAGTATCAGATCCCCAAATGGGCACATTTATAGGCCAACATTAGCAAGCATTCCAGGTAGCCTAGGCCTACGTATACGTTAATGTAGAGAACATTTTGCAGGTTTAACGTTTATTTCCTGCAATTCTACACATTTTGTCATGGGGTGCAGAGATCATTTTGCAGTTTTAAAGCACATTTTATTGCAATTCTATACATTTTGCCATGTCTAATGTGCATTCATGTGATATTTGAGTGACACGAACATTACTGCAAAATCTATGGGCTAAAAAACATTAGCTGACATGGGCTAAAAATTTTAGCAGTTAACTGTATGCATTGTATGCATGTCACCCACACAGTTTATAACATAGGATTTTAAAACATGACAATTATACATGAAACCAAAAGGAATACTCCATCTCTCAACAAACAAAGTCCTCAGGCGCTGATTGGTGGGCGTTGCTGTCCCCACTGAATGATTGGTCAACGCGACTGTCACTCACCTTGCGTGCCAACGATCTCCATGTGGAGGTGGGCCAGGCCGCTGGCGGTGGACAGTGACAATTTGATCATGCCCTCCACAGTGACCGTGTAGCGGTTCAGGTAGTCAAACAGAGAGCCATGCTCGTGGAAGTCTGACACCAGCCACAGCTGGGTCCATGTCCCGTTATCTGGGGGGAGGGGGTTAGAGAGAAAGAGAGAGGGAGAGAAAGAGAGAGAAAGAGAGAGGGAGAGAGAGAGCGAGAGGGAGGGGGAGAGAGAGAGAGAGAGAGAGGGGGAGAGAGAGAGAGAGAGAGAGAGGGGGAGGGGAGGGAGAGAGAGAGAGAGAGAGGGGGAGGGGAGGGAGAGAGAGAGAGGGAGAGAGAAAGAGAGAAAGAATGAAAGAGAAAGAGAGAGCGCGGAGCAGAGCAAAGGGTGAGATTTGTACAAAGACAAAAAGTTGAGTAATTGGAGTGATGGAGAGAAAAACAGAGCGAGAGAGAGAGAGGAGAGAGAGGTTAATGAACACAGTGAGTTGGTTCTCCTCAGAGCAATGTGATGTTACCTCCAGATGGCCAGAGAGAGCTCAGAACAGCTGGACAACTATTACCCCGGCTCTCTAGCAGGGTTTCTGCACGGAGATCACTGAACTGCATCCAAATATGCTGTTATGACTCTTCTCATGGTTATCAAACCCTTACAAGCCTACACCAGTCCAGTCCACCTTACTGACGCACCAGTCCAGTCCACCTTACTGACGCACCAGTCCAGTCCACCTTACTGACGCACCAGTCCAGTCCACCTTACTGACACACCAGTCCAGTCCACCTTACTGACACACCAGTCCAGTCCACCTTACTGACGCACCAGTCCAGTCCACCTTACTGACGCACCAGTCCAGTCCACCTTACTGACGCACCAGTCCAGTCCACCTTACTGACGCACCAGTCCAGTCCACCTTACTGACGCACCAGTCCAGTCCACCTTACTGACGCACCAGTCCAGTCCACCTTACTGACACACCAGTCCAGTCCACCTTACTGACGCACCAGTCCAGTCCACCTTACTGACGCACCAGTCCAGTCCACCTTACTGACGCACCAGTCCAGTCCACCTTACTGACGCACCAGTCCAGTCCACCTTACTGACGCACCAGTCCAGTCCACCTTACTGACACACCAGTCCAGTCCACCTTACTGACGCACCAGTCCAGTCCACCTTACTGACACACCAGTCCAGTCCACCTTACTGACGCACCAGTCCAGTCCACCTTACTGACACACAAGTATGGCTCAGTAAGAAGAGACCTTGTGTCTGATATAAACTGAAAAACCGGTTTGAATGCTGTAAACTAATAAAAGTCAGATAAAGGGAAAAAGTCAGATTAATATGCGTCGCTAGGGCATGTTTATGTAACTGTCAATTCAAACAGTTCACATGTTAAGCATGAAAATGTTGAACTGTCCGATAAACTACATCAGGTTCAGCCAAGCAATACATTGCAGCCGTGCAAACCTTGCTACTTTTCCTTCTTGTTTTTTTTAACCAGAGGCTGTGATGTCTCTCAGGGTAATCAGGTGTGCCAACTCAATCCATCAGGGGTACTCCTATCTAAACCTGGAGGTCCAATGTCAGTGATTGACCCAAGTCCTCACCTAGATCACTGATAGAGGGGTACGACAGACCAGAGCCCTCACCTAGATCACTGATAGAGGGGTACGACAGACCAGAGCCCTCACCTAGATCACTGATAGAGGGGTACGACAGACCAGAGCCCTCACCTAGATCACTGATAGAGGGGTACGACAGACCAGAGCCCTCACCTAGATCACTGATAGAGGGGTACGACAGACCTTAAGGAAAAAGAGGTCCTAGCCAATAAATGCACCCCTACAAAAGTGATTTGACGCTTTAGAGGTGAGCTGTGATTGGTTGCACCTTTGTTGTCGGCGGCGATGAAGCCCAGAATGTTTTCGTGACGCAGCATGACCGTCTGGTAGATCTCGGCCTCGCGGAACCACGAACGCTCCTCACGGGAGGAGAATATCTTGACTGCCACCTCCTCGCCTCGCCACTTGCCCCGCCACACCTCGCCGAAGCGGCCCTTCCCGATGCTCTCCTGGAGGATGATGGTCCGGGCTATGGTCCTCTGTACCAGCAAGGGCAGACCTGGGAGGAAGAGGAGGAGGAAGGTGAGGAAGAGGAGGAAGAAGAGGGGAAGATAAAGAGAAGGAAGAGGAGGTGGAGGAAGAGGAAGGTGTTTTAGAAAAACTGGTCTTGCTCTGCAATGTACAGTTCATAGAAACACCAGCAAAGACTCAATCCAAAGGAAGACATGAAAATTACCTGGAACAAACGGCAGTTTAAAAAGTTATCAAAGTAAATGGCTGTGCTACGTCTTTTCAGACAATATAAAGACATTTAAACCTTAAACCCACTCACTCTCCCTCTCCACCTTAATGTCGACAAAATCCAGGCAGTCTGTGGATTGATCTACCTGCCTCGATAAAGAGCAAAACATTGAGCTGGGTCAACCTTTATGATCCTACTGTCACAATGAAATCCAAATCTAAAAGCCCGAAACAAGGAAACATTGATAGGGTTGGTGTGGACTTAGTCAGTCTGCCAGATCTGACATCTCTTGATACCACCATATCTGACATCTCTTGATACCACCAGATCTGACATCTCTTGATACCACCAGATCTGACATCTCTTGATACCACCAGATCTGACATCTCTTGATACCACCAGATCTGACATCTCTTGATACCACCAGATCTGACATCTCTTGATACCGCGCAGAAATCCACTTTGCCCCATACTGGAAAATCATCCAAATATTTATTTACACTTTTCCCCACTAAACATTCCCAGGAAGATGATTCTGAATTAAAAACCAGGTAGCCTAGAGGTGTGGGTTTACATGCCAGTCCTGATGGTGAGCTGTTCATTTCTGGTCGGAACGAGATGACACTGTGTCCTTTCCGTGTGCCAGTTCTCACACCACGTCTCCTGGCTGGCAGGGCTGGCGCCTGGGGGTGAGAGAAGTTTTACAGCAGCTCTGTCAGCGCCACCCTGTCAATACAGCCACGAACCGCTCCAATAACGCCACCCTGTCAATACAGCCACGAACCGCTCCAATAACGTCACCCTGTCAATACAGCCACGAACCGCTCCAATAACGCCACCCTGTCAATACAGCCACGAACCGCTCCAATAACGTCACCCTGTCAATACAGCCACGAACCGCTCCAATAACGTCACCCTGTCAATACAGCCACGAACCGCTCCAATAACGCCACCCTGTCAATACAGCCACGAACCGCTCCAATAACGCCACCCTGTCAATACAGCCACGAACCGCTCCAATAACGTCACCCTGTCAATACAGCCACGAACCGCTCCAATAACGCCACCCTGTCAATACAGCCACGAACCGCTCCAATAACGCCACCCTGTCAATACAGCCACGAACCGCTCCAATAACGCCACCCTGTCAATACAGCCACAAACCGCTCCAATAACGCCACCCTGTCAATACAGCCACGAACCGCTCCAATAACGCCACCCTGTCAATACAGCCACGAACCGCTCCAATAACACCACCCTGTCAATACAGCCACGAACCGCTCCAATAACACCACCCTGTCAATACAGCCACGAACCGCTCCAATAACGCCACCCTGTCAATACAGCCACGAACCGCTCCAATAACGCCACCCTGTCAATACAGCCACGAACCGCTCCAATAACGCCACCCTGTCAATACAGCCACGAACCGCTCCAATAACGCCACCCTGTCAATACAGCCACGAACCGCTCCAATAACGCCACCCTGTCAATACAGCCACGAATCGCTCCAATAACGCCACCCTGTCAATACAGCCACGAACCGCTCCATATAAGGCCACCGTCATTACAGCCCCGCTCCGATAACACCACCCTGTCATTAGAGCCCCGCTCTGATAACACCACCGTCATTAGAGCCCAGCTCTGATAACACCACCGTCATTAGAGCCAAGCTCTGATAACACCACCCTGTCATTAGAGCCCTGCACAGCGGCAATAACGCCATCCTGTCATTAGAGCCCCGCTCCGATAACACCACCCTGTCATTAGAGCCCAGCTCTGATAACACCACCGTCATTAGAGCCCAGCTCTGATAACACCACCGTCATTAGAGCCCAGCTCTGATAACACCACCGTCATTAGAGCCAAGCTCTGATAACACCACCGTCATTAGAGCCAAGCTCTGATAACACCACCCTGTCATTAGAGCCCTGCACAGCGGCAATAACGCCATCCTGTCATTAGAGCCCCGCTCTGATAACGCCACCCTGTCATTAGACGCCCGCACAGCTCTGCTCCCATTGTACCATGGCAGAGGCTGAGCCCATCTGAGCCAGAGATGGACCGATAAGATAACTGCTGCTTTCACTACACAGTCACTGAGGGAGGGAGTCACTAGCTCTATCTGCCCCATCATGTCACAGCTGGGTATCTCTAAGCACTGTGCTGTAGCTACACTCTCTGGCAGAGTTATTCACACATTCACACAGAGACGCATGCTGGTAAGCGCACGCACTGAACATTAGTACACTCTGATACAATTGCACACACAAAAAGATAAAACAAAGAAGCAACACAACACAAGAAGCCACGCCTTAGCAGATAAGACACACCTTTAGGCTATGTTACTAATACAGCACATACAAAACAGACAAACAGAAACTTAATATAAAACATTAGCGGTCCTGCACGAGCAGAGCCCCCCAACCCCACGGCTACCTAACCTACCAGAACCGGAGCCAGAGGTGGTCATGTCGTAGATGAGGTCTTTGAGGGTGGAGCCCACAGTGAGGAAGGGGTGATCCATGGTGGGGTCCTCCTCGTTGGGCACACGGTGATGCACACCCACCCGGCTGTGGCAGATGTAGAAGACCAGCACCAGCACGAAGCACAGCACGCACACAGGCCCAGCGATCACTTCCGCCAGCGCCACAGGCCCCAGGGTAACCGGCTTCACCGTCGGCACTGCGGGGGGGGGGTAGAAAGGGAGGGGAGAGAGTTAAATGAGTTAAAGGATTTTAAAGAGTTCGACACAAAAATCAGCTCTGGCCCATCTTCTCTGGTTGGACACGCCACAGTAGACATGAACTATTCATAAAGCATAGGAGTTCATCTACTTGGCAACTATCAACATATCAACATATTCTTTACAATTGTTCCATCTGAATGTGTAAATATCAGATCATTCCAAACCAGCTGTATGTGGAGAAGGTTCCGGGTGAATGGGCCTTTGGTTGAGATAGCATGATGAGACTAATAGTACACCCATTTGACCACAGTGCTGGGTACAAAAGGACAGGTAAACTACAATACCCAGAATACCCACACACCAGTGCTCCATTGACCTGGTCTTGGTTCCTTGGTCCTTGTCGTCGAAAAGGCATCCAATATATGAAAGCTATGACCAACGGAATAGCATGGCTCATATACTCATATGATAAAGCGTGTCTGTGTCATGAGTTTCTTCACCAAGTCATTAGTTATTCACAGGTCGTTATAGCACATGCCTAAAGGATGACCCATGTTGACTCGAGGCTCTATCTGTATCAATAGTGACGGAAGATAAGCTTCTCAAACCCGAAAGCTGCTGGAAAATGTTGTTTTGATCACAAGACTATGATAAAGGCTGTGTTGGCTACTCAATAGCCTGTATTTTATCTCTAACAGTGAGGAAACAAGCAGAAAGAGAGCAGAAAAGTGCTCCTTCCATGACTCACTATGGGCAGCAATCTTTGTAAACATCGCTTGGGGAAGCTAGGAAAAATAATCAAAAAAAGGGTCAAGTTTGGGGTGAAGAAGTGTATTAAAGGCCTAGAACGGCACGCTCACTGGTCCAGTGGTTCTTAAACCTCTCCTCGGGGACCCCCAGCCACGCCATGTGTTTTGAGAGGTTGCACACCCGATTCAACTTGTCAACTAATCATCAAGCCTTTGACTAGGTCAATAAGGTGAGCTAGTTCAGGGCTACAACAAAATTGCGAAACATCTGGGGGGTCCTCAAGGAGACGATTTGAGAACCACTGCCTTGTATTAATGTCCTGGCACAGCGTGCTCCCTAGTCCAAGGCTTTCGGCAAACACTTTTTTTTTTTAAAAAGGTCAGAGGTGGGCTTACGTTGTGCAACGGCAGAGTTGGAGAAAACAGGGCCACTACACTGTGTGGGCAGAAGCCATCTGTTGTGTACAACACATACATTTCACTATACAGACAGCAATGCCAGAACCAAAACACTTAGTGTAGCTGGAATACGTCCATTCAAACACCTCCGCTAAAACCGGTATCGGCTAACCTAGGTTGATCCTTTAAACAGGATGATTCTGGGGCTCCTCCACCTATAGTGCATTCTCAGTAGGGATGGGGGTTTGAAATAATTTCACTATTCGAATAGTATCATCCATTTTTTAAATGAATATCCAGATAACATATACTTAACATGCAACAATTTCTAAGATTTTTATGAGCAACAGTTCATATATAAAGGAAATCAGTCAATTGAAATACATTCATTAGCCCCTAATCTATGGATTTCACATGACTGGGAATACAGATATGCATCTGTTGGTAACAGATACCTTTAAAAAAGTAGGGGCATGGATCAGAAAACCATTTGCCTCATGTAGCGTGACATCTCCTTCGCATAGAGTTGATCGGGCTGTCGATTGTGGCCTGTGGAATGTTGTCCCACTCCTCTTCAAAGGCTGTGCGAAGTTGCTGGATATTGGCGGGAAGAAGTTGCTGGATATTGGCGGGAACTGGAACACGCTGCCGTACACGTCGATCCAGAGCATCCCAAACATGCTCAACGGGTGACATGTCTGGGGAGTATGCAGGGAATGGAAGAACTGGGACATTGTGTGCAGATCCTTGCGACATGAGGCCGTGCATTATCATGCTGAATCATGAGGTGATGGTGGCGGATGAATGGAACGACAATGGGCCTCAGGATCTCGTCACGGCATCTCTGAATTCAAATTACCATCGATCAAATGCAATTGTGTTCGTTGTCAGTAGCTTATACCTGCCCATGCCATAACCCCACCATGCGGTACTCTGTTCACAACATTGAATCAGCAAACCGTTCGCCCACACAACGCCATCTGCCCAGTACAGTTGAAACCGGGATTCATCCGTGAAGAGCACACATCTCCAGCGTGCCAATGACCATCGAAGGTCAGCAGTTGCCCACTTAAGAAGTTGGTTACGACGCCAAACTGCAGTCAGGTCAAGACCCTGGTAAGGATGACGAGCACGCAGATGAGCTTCCCATAGACGGTTTCTGACAGTTTGCACAACGGAAGAATTTCTGCACAAACCCAGTTAATTCAGCTGTCCGGGTGGCTGGTCTCAGACGATACCGCAGGTTAAGAAGCCGGATGTCCTGGGCTGTCGTTGTTACACGTGGTCTGCGGTTGTGAGGCCGTTTGGACGTACTGCCAAATTCTATAAAACGATGGAAGAGAAATTAACATTCAATTCTCAGGTGAACATTACTGCAGTCAGCATGACAATTGCACGCTCCCTCAAAACTTGAGACATTTGTGGCATTGTGAAAACAGTACATTTTAGAGTGGCCTTTTATTGTCCCCAGCACAAGGTGCACCTGTGTAATAACTAGGGCTGACTCAATTTAGTCGACTGGTCGATTGTTTGGTCGATAGGCTGTTGGTCGACCAAGATTGCTTTAGTCAAGCAGTAGCAAAAAAATAAGAAATAAAAAATCTGATTCGTGCCTGTGAGTGGACTGATCCATTGTGGAGGCCGTGGGGATGGCACAGTTTCTACTGAAATTGTATATGGTTATATTATGTAAGAACAATGGTGCAACACAAATGAAACTACTATTTTATAACAAATGCTCTTTCTCCCGCGTTGGATAGTGGTCGCTGGCCATGGTTCTGAAACATCAGTGCTCTGTTGAATTGACGCATTTACCTAGACCATGTTGCTATGTGCATACAGTGAGGGAAAAAAGTATTTGATCCCCTGCTGATTTTGTACGTTTGCCCACTGACAAAGACATGATCAGTCTATCATTTTAATCGTAGGTCTATTTGAACAGTGAGAGACAGAATAACAACAAAAAAATCCAGAAAAACGTATGTCAAAAATGTTATTAATTGATTTGCATTTTAAATGAGGGAAATAAGTATTTGACCCCTCTGCAAAACATGAATTAGTACTTGGTGGCAAAACCCTTGTTGGCAATCACAGAGGTCAGATGTTTCTTGTAGTTGGCCACCAGGTTTTGCACACATCTCAGGAGGGATTTTGTCCACTCCTCTTTGCAGATCTTCTCCAAGTCATTAAGGTTTCGAGGCTGACGTTTGGCAACTCGAACCTTCAGCTCCCTCCACAGATTTTCTATGGGATTAAGGTCTGGAGACTGGCTAGGCCACTCCAGGACCTTAATGTGCTTCTTCTTGAGCCACTCCTTTGTTGCCTTGGCCGTGTGTTTTGGGTCATTGTCATGCTGGAAAACCATCCACGACCCATTTTCAATGCCTTGGCTGAGGGAAGGAGGTTCTCACACAAGATTTGACGGTACATGGCCCCGTCCATCGTCCCTTTGATGCGGTGAAGTTGCCCCCTTAGCAGAAAAACACCCCCAAAGCATAATGTTTCCACCTCCATGTTTGACGGTGGGGATGGTGTTCTTGGGGTCATAGGCAGCATTCCTCCTCCAAACACGGCGAGTTGAGTTGATGCCAAAGAGCTCGATTTTGGTCTCATCTGACCACAACACTTTCACACAGTTCTCCTCTGAATTATTCAGATGTTCATTGGCAAACTTCAGACGGCCCTGTATATGTGCTTTCTTGAGCAGGGGGACCTTGCGGGTGCTGCAGGATTTCAGTCCTTCATGGCGTTGTGTTTTACCAATTGTTTTCTTGGTGACTATGGTCCCAGCTGCCTTGAGATCATTGACAAGATCCTCCTGTGTAGTTCTGGGCTGATTCCTCACCGTTCTCATGATCATTGCAACTCCACGAGGTGAGATCTTGCATGGAGCCCCAGGCCGAGGGAGATTGACAGTTATTTTGTGTTTCTTCCATTCGCGAATAAAATCGCACCAACTGTTGTCACCTTCTCACCAAGCTGCTTGGCAATGGTCTTGTAGCCCATTCCAGACTTGTGTAGGTCAACAATCTTGTCCCTGACATCCCTGGAGAGCTCTTTGGTCTTGGCCATGGTGGAGAGTTTGGAATCTGATTGATTGATTGCTTCTGTGGACAGGTGTCTTTTATACAGGTAACAAACTGAGATTAGGAGCACTCCCTTTAAGAGTGTGCTCCTAATCTCAGCTCGTTACCTGTATAAAAGACACCTGGGAGCCAGAAATCTTTCTGATTGAGAGGGGGTCAAATACTTATTTCCCTCATTAAAATGCAAATCAATTTATAACATTTTTGACATGCGTTTTTCTGGATTTTGTTGTTGTTATTCTGTCTCTCACTGTTCAAATAAACCTACCATTAAAATTATAGACTTATCATTTCTGTGTCAGTGGGCAAACGTACAAAATCAGCAGGGGATCAAATACTTTTTTCCCCCTCACTGTTTATAGCCTATCGGCTCTATAAAATATGCGATGCATGCTGAAAGTCATTTTCAAAAGTTTTTCCCCAAAAAAACTTTTCCAATTAAATGTTGACTGCAAAGTAGGCTTACCTGGCAGAATGACATCATGATGATTTGTATCAAATCAGGTGCACCTTTGTTCAGCATACTCTGCAATCATATGTGCAGTACAGAAACCTGACAGGAGCACCGCTAGCCTAAAACAAATGAACTGGGACTAAAACTTAGCTGGGACATGCTTTCAAAATGGTGCTCTTCAACACCTGACACCAATGTAGTGGATTAGGAGTGGGCATCAAACCCTAGTCCCTGTGGACTGTCATTAGGAGTGGGCATCAAACCCTAGTCCCTGTGACTGTCATTAGGAGTGGGCATCAAACCCTAGTCCCTGTGGACTGTCATTAGGAGTGGGCATCAAACCCTAGTCCCTGTGACTGTCATTAGGAGTGGGCATCAAACCCTAGTCCCTGTGACTGTCATTAGGAGTGGGCATCAAACCCTAGTCCCTGTGACTATCATTAGGAGTGGGCATCAAACCCTAGTCCCTGTGACTGTCATTAGGAGTGGGCATCAAACCCTAGTCCCTGTGGACTGTCATTAGGAGTGGGCATCAAACCCTAGTCCCTGTGACCGTCATTAGGAGTGGGCATCAAACCCTAGTCCCTGTGACTGTCATTAGGAGTGGGCATCAAACCCTAGTCCCTGTGACTGTCATTAGGAGTGGGCATCAAACCCTAGTCCCTGTGGACTGTCATTAGGAGTGGGCATCAAACCCTAGTCCCTGTGACTGTCATTAGGAGTGGGCATCAAACCCTAGTCCCTGTGGACTGTCATTAGGAGTGGGCATCAAACCCTAGTCCCTGTGACTGTCATTAGGAGTGGGCATCAAACCCTAGTCCCTGTGGACTGTCATTAGGAGTGGGCATCAAACCCTAGTCCCTGTGACTGTCATTAGGAGTGGGCATCAAACCCTAGTCCCTGTGACTGTCATTAGGAGTGGGCATCAAACCCTAGTCCCTGTGGACTGTCATTAGGAGTGGGCATCAAACCCTAGTCCCTGTGACTGTCATTAGGAGTGGGAATCAAACCCTAGTCCCTGTGACTGTCATTAGGAGTGGGCATCAAACCCTAGTCCCTGTGGACTGTCATTCCTAAACCATTATACTGTCACAATCATCGCTATATGAGCCATGATACAATTCCTACCAAGTGGGTTAACCCTATTGGCACGATGCATAGGGTGTTTGCCTTTCACGCCAGTGACCCGGTCTCACTTCCTGGTCCTGCTACATTGGTGTCAGAAGTGGGAATACCAAAAGGCTAAAATCTCTTGGTGAGGTCACTAGGTTTTGTACACTTTAAGGTGTTATTTGTTATACAGGTAATTACATTTGTATGGCCTTGGGGACAATACAATTATCCTACCTAGACTAGCCTACAACACCACAATGCAATGAATATTGCATTATTGTTTCAAGTGAGTACTACCTAGACTAGCCTACAACACCACAATGCAATGAATATTGCATTATTGTTTCAAGTGAGTACAATTCTACTCTAGGCTGTAAACTGCAGTAAAAATGGCATTTGAATAATGGCGCAAAAGCCCTGTTATTTGAATGTTTCATTCCATTTGGGTCAGTTGGGGATCTACTTTAGACAGATTATAAAGTCTAGAAAAAGGTACAGTATAGGACGGTCTGGCTGTATTTTTACTTCTGATACGGATCATCATTCTCCCATGGGCGGCAGGTAGCTTAGTGGGTAAGAGCGTTGTGCCAGTAACCGAAAGGTCGCTGGTTCTAATCCCCGAGCCGACTATGTGAAAAATCTGTCGATGTGCCCTTAAGCAAGGCACTTAACCCTAATTGCTCCTGTAAGTCGCTCTGGATAAGAGCGTCTGCTAAATGACTAAAATGTAAATGTAAATGCATAGTCCTATGCTCCAAGCAGGCCCAGTTATTCAGGAAAGCTTCTTAACACGCCTCCTTTCCTATCCAAGTGGCGATTCCTCGACCTCGAAACGTCAATATAACCCTAAATATTTGTGATTTAACTTTTTTAATGTATTACCTTTTATGTGTGGCATAAACACGACCAGTCACAATGTTTTAATCTGATTAAAGGCTACTTCAAAAGTCTCCTGTAGGCATGTTCATCCACTACACAGCGCTTTCGGAAAGCATTCAGACTTTTTCCACATTTTGTGGTCCTCTGTAGCTCAGCTGGTAGAGCACGGCGCTTGTAACGCCAGGGTAGTGGGTTCGATCCCCGGGACCACCCATGCACAAAAATGTATGCACACATGACTGTAAATCGCTTTGGATAAAAGCGTCTGCTAAATGGCATGTTATTATATTAATATTATTGTTAGGTTACAACCTTATTCTAAAATGGATTAAATTGTTAGTTTTTTTCCCAATCAATCTACACACAATACCTCCTAATGACAAAGCAAAAAACATTTGCTAAAAAAATACAATAAATAAAAATGCAATTACATTTACGTAAGTATTCAGACCCTTTACTCTGTACTTTGTTGAAGCACCTTTGGCAGCAATTACAGCCTCGAGTCTTCTTGGGTATGACGCTACAAGCTTGGCACACATGTATTTGGGGAGTTTCTCCCATTCTTCTCTGCAGATCCTCTCAAGCTCTGTCAGCTTGAAACTCAGTCAGAGTGATCACCTCCCTGACCAAGGCCCTTCTCCCCTGATTGCTCAGATTGACCGGGCGGCCAACTCAGGGATGAGTCTTGGTGGTTCCAAACTTCTTCCATTTAAGAATGATGGCAGCCACTGTGATCTTGGGGACCTTCAATGCTGCAGAAATTTTTTGGTACCCTACCCCAGATCTGTGCCTCGACACAATCCCGTCTCTGAGCTCTACGGACAATTCCTTCTACCTCATGGCTTGGTTTTTGCTCTGACATGCACTGTCTACTGTGGGACCCTATTTAGACATGTGTGTGCCTTTCCAAATCATGTCCAATCAATTGAATTTACCACATGTGGACTCCAATCAAGTTGTAGAAACATCTCAAGGATGATCAATGAAAACACGATGCACCTGAGCTCAATTTCTAGTCTCATAGCAAAGGGTCTGAATATTTATGTAAATGTGACATTTCATTTTCCCATTTTTTATAAAATGTGCAAACATTTCTAAAAACCTGTTTTCGCTTTGTCATTATGGGGTATTGTGTGCAGACTGTTGAGGATATAAAAATAAAATAAATCAATTTTAGAATAAGGCTGTAACGTAACAAAATGTGAAAAAAGTCAAGGTGTCTGAAAACTTTCCGAAGGCACTGTAATTCCAGCATCCAAACTGCACACGACCATTTTTTTTTGGGGGGGACACGTCGAGTTGGACTATTAAAGTCCCTTCGATCACTTCACTATTCCCTTTTTGTTTACAAAAATCTCATACAGAAGTTTCCGTCTTACCTAACTTTGCTGTTAAAATATAAAAACATGAGATACCAAACCCGTTCACAACGCTTGAGGTTCCTTGGGTCTCCACCGAACTAGGTAAATGTGCTTTAAACATTTTTAAAACACCTCATTGCTGGAACCAACCACAAAATACATTACAACTGGATGATCTGGTACAGCTCGGGCAATTTTAAATATTGATTGGGGACCTTCTAATTGAGGAATGTCATTGTTTTTCTTGAACAATTGTGTTGTGCTGTATTTTATTTGTTTTATATGGTATTTAATATTAAATTATATATGTAGGGCTCCCTTGTGAAAGAGACCCTGGTCTCAATGGTGACTCCCTGCTTCAATCAAGTTAAAATAACTAGAATCGAACAATTTTTTAAAACTTTTCAGTGTCAAAATAAACAAAAATAAATACACACACAAGTATTTGAATACTAATGTCCATTCGGCTATACAAATAACCATGCACATCTCAAATTCTCAGACGGTTATTTCTGTCATAATTCTATTATTACTCTTGATTTCTGTGCTGATGGCAGTGTGGAATGATGTGTTTTGATGGAGTCGTCGTCGTCGTGCCGGTAGTTCGGAACGGCCAGACAGCAGGCAGCTATGATTATTATAATTGATAGGTAAGGCTACTCAACACTGGTAATAGCACACAGGCATAATAAGAGGTGTGTGTGCGACTGAACGACACAATTGACGTGTGGCTTTAATAAATAGCGCATCTAAAATCAATGAATCAACCTTGAACATGAACATTTGTTGATGAAGTGATCTCAATATTTATAGATATACCAAATCAGGAATAAGGATGCAGAGGCACAAATAAGTCCAGTAATGGAGCCGTTAGTCGGTAGGTAGCTTAGTGGTTAAGAGCGTTGTGCCAGTAAGCGAAAGGTCGCTGGTTCTAATCCCCGAGCCGACTAGGTGAAAAATCTGTCGATGTGCCCTTGAGCAAGGCACTTAACCCTAATCATTTAGCAGACGTTCTTATCGCTCTGGAAAAGAGCGTCTGCTAAATGACTAAATTGTAAAATGTTAGGTAAGCACACAGCACCTCACTCAAACTACTCTCAAAGTGCAATGAATATGAATCCAATCTAAATCTGTTTTCTATCCTCGTTGAATTGCCACAGATGGCAGTCCACTCCTGATAACTGCAACAATTTAGCTGGACCACAATAAAAAAAACAACGGCTAACTGCACTAAGTTTGTATTGGGGCTGGCTAACTGCACTAAGTTTGTATTGGGGCTGGCTAACTGCACTACGTTTGTATTGGGGCTGGCTAACTGCACTACGTTTGTATTGGGGCTGGCTAACTGCACTACGTTTGTATTGGGGCTGGCTAACTGCACTACGTTTGTATTGGGGCTGGCTAACTGCACTAAGTTTATATTGGGGATGGCTAACTGCACTACGTTTGTATTGGGGCTGGCTAACTGCACTACGTTTGTATTGGGGCTGGCTAACTGCACTACGTTTGTATTGGGGATGGCTAACTGCACTACGTTTGTATTGGGGCTGGCTAACTGCACTAAGTTTATATTGGGGATGGCTAACTGCACTACGTTTGTATTGGGGCTGGCTAACTGCACTACGTTTGTATTGGGGCTGGCTAACTGCACTACGTTTGTATTGGGGCTGGCTAACTGCACTAAGTTTATATTGGGGATGGCTAACTGCACTACGTTTGTATTGGGGCTGGCTAACTGCACTACGTTTGTATTGGGGCTGGCTAACTGCACTACGTTTGTATTGGGGCTGGCTAACTGCACTACGTTTGTATTGGGGCTGGCTAACTGCACTACGTTTGTATTGGGGCTGGCTAACTGCACTAAGTTTGCTATCAGATGTGTACTTATTAGGGGATAGCACTCTGCTCTATTGAGATGCACCCATGAGGGAAGGGACTGACTGACAGTGAGACAGACGGGGACGTACCTGGGAAGACGCTGAGGTCGGGGTTCTTGTTGCACCAGTCGGTGACGCAGCACAACGGGTAGATGCCCGTGTCGTCCTTGGCGGAGGGCGCGCAGATGAAGGGGCGGTCGCGCGGGATCAGCTCGCTCTCGTGCACGCACATGCTGCGCTCGGCGGTGAGCCGGCTGCCGGACTTCATGACCGTCACGAAGCACAGGCCGTCCGTGGTGCACGTGGAATTGAGACAGCGCTGGCAGTAGCACTGCAGGGCTGGAGGGAGAAGAGTGATGGAACATAGGAGATTCAGGTAGAAAGAAAGAGAGAGGTAGAGAGAGAGAGAGAATATAGGGGAGGGAACAAGAGAGAGAGAGAGGACAAAGGAAAGAGATTAATACCAACAAAATAAATGACTTCTGAAGGATTTCTTCCCCACAAAAGGAACTGAACAAAGCATATGATAAAATACCAGAGCGATATTTCACATAACAGTGTGTGTGTGTGTGTGTGTGTGTGTGTGTGTGTGTGTGTGTGTGTGTGTGTGTACGATGCATGTTCTGAGTGCATCTACAGCTAGGCTAAAAGCAACAGATGAATAGCTACAGTGCAACACAGAAAAACTCAACAACACGTCAACAACAACGCTAGCCCGCTCCGAGGTGTTGTGATCTGTGGTGATCCACCTCACCACCCGTGGTCTCACTTCCTCTAAGCCAGCTTCCTTCTTGCTCAGCCCGTTTGCAGCCAGGACACTCGCAGATGGATGAAAACGGGAGACATCGTCGTCGTCGTCAAGAGCGAGCCAGACTTTGTCCTACTCACAACACAAGCACTAACAGCTTGGTGTTGGTTTTAGGCCAACAGATTTCCTATGAGCCCGTCTGGGCTAGTTTCAGTTGCTTCTCAGATAGCTTCTCTCTTCCCCCCCCCCCCTCTCTATTTTTCTTTTCAGGCTACCTTTCATCTCCATCCTTTCACTTCTTTCTCTCTCTACATCAGCTAAAGGTTTAGTCTAATGGTATTGGGGGGGGGGGATCATCTACAGTTCTTTAACCGGTCTCCTCCCCTTCATCTACACTTAATGCAAGAAAGGCATTTTACTGTACTTGTGCATGCGACATTAAAAACTTGATTGAAGTGAAGTGGATTTAACAGGTGACATCAATAAGGGATCATGGCTTTTGACCTGGATTCACATGGTCAGTTCTATGTCATGGAAAGAGCAAGTGTTCCTAATGTTTTCACTGACAGTGCAGATGTGCCCTCTAGCAAAAAATGTGCATTAAGATGTGCATTTCACACTATGTTGAGGTACAAATCTGAGTATAATCACATATCTTGTACTGTAGATATGTAGTGGTGTAATCATGTTATATGATGTACTGTTTTATCTTTTGTTTTATGTGTAATGCAAGTGCCTTAATGTGTTTGTGTTTTACAACTATGTGCCGTTTTCAAGGGATTGTTTAATAAGTTATTACTATTTGGTTTTAATATCATAATCTATTGAGCATAGTCAGAACTACACATTTCCGATTATTCCATGCAAAACAACTGCGCACATTTAGCTCTATCATCAGAGTCATACAGCAAGTAACTGCATGTGTTTCATGATCAGTAAACATCAACGATCATGTAAATTTCAGATACGTGAAGGTACCAATCCATTTGGCATGTAGCTAGCTAAGCAAACAACATCATTTAGTTTGCTTCATCATAGATTAGGCTTTTGGGAAAATAGCTCGACATCGGCAAGTCCTCGTCCTGGTAAAGTTGTCAGTCGGACTACCGTCATCACCAATATAGATGGAAAGCAAATCAAAAAATATTTCTATATAGTCATCTAGTTTATCCCCTGAAAGTCTGCTTGTAACTAGCCACATTGAAGTGATCTGTAGTTAGCTTGTAGCTAGCCACATTGAAGTGATCTGTAGTTAGCTTGTAGCTAGCCACATTGAAGTGATCTGTAGTTAGCTTATAGCTAGCCACATTGAAGTGATCTGTAGTTAGCTTGTAGCTAGCCACATTGAAGTGATCTGTAGTTAGCTTATAGCTAGCCACATTGAAGTGATCTGTAGTTAGCTTGTAGCTAGCCACATTGACATGATCCGTTATTAGCTAGCTAGCCAATTTGACGTGGTCCATCAATCAATGTAGCCTATATGTCTGTCAGCAGCAATCGTAATTAAAAACACTCTTAAAAACAATGTTGAAAAGGGAATCATGTTAGCCAACTTCGCTAGGTAGGCCTACATTGGTTGGAGAAAAAAGTACATTAGGTCTACTTCCCACTATATGTTTAGCCAACTGTACAAGGTTTCTACCGCAGCATGCAAAGTAAACATTATCAGCTAACAGTACCACAGCAAATCCGCCCATTCTGCTGCTTGACAGGCAGAGCCCACAAAAGATGGGAAATTTACCAAAACCACTCATACTTGTCAGGTATAGTTCACATTTATTTTATAAAATCACTCAAATATACAATTAATGGTGGCCAATATATTGAGAGATATCGTGAGGCTACCCTGCGCAACTGAAATTACATGATCATTGATGTTTTCTGATCACAAAATTATCCAACCATTGCGTAGGTTGGTGGAAATCCCCATCGACTGTAGACGTGTAAAAATGATGTTGAATAATAATAAACGACATTGATCAATCTGACTCCATTAGGTCCTCTGTAGCTCAGCTGGTAGAGCACGGCGCTTGTAACGCCAAGGTAGTGGGTTCGATCCCCGGGACCACCCATACACAAAAAAAAGATATTAATTTGCATTTTATTTCATGACATAAGTATTTGATCACCTACCAACCAGTAAGAATTCCGGCTCTCACAGACCTGTTAATTTTTCTTTAAGAAGCCCTCCAGTTCTCCACTCATTACCTGTATTAACTGCACCTGTTTGAACTCGTTACCTGTATAAAAGACACCTGTCCACACACTCAATCAAACAGACTCCAACCTCTCCACAATGGCCAAGACCAGAGAGCTATGTAAGGACATCAGAGATAAAATTGTAGACCTGCACAAGGCTGGGATGGGCTACAGGACAATAGGCAAGCAGCTTGGTGAGAAGGCAACAACTGTTGGCGCAATTATTAGAAAATGGAAGACGTTCAAGATGACAGTCAATCACCCTCGGTCTGGGGCTCCATGCAAGATCTCACCTCGTGGGGCATCAATGATCATGAGGAAGGTGAGGAATCAGCCCAGAACTACACGGCAGGACCTGGTCAATGACCTGAAGAGAGCTGGGACCACAGTCTCAAAGAAAACCATTAGTAACACACTACGCCGTCATGGATTAAAATCCTGCAGCGCACGCAAGGTCCCCCTGCTCATGCCAGCTCATGTCCAGGCCCGTCTGAAGTTTGCCAATGACCATCTGGATGATCCAGAGGAGGAATGGGTGAAGGTCATGTGGTCTGATGAGACAAAAATCGAGCTTTTTGGTCTAAACTCCACTCGCCATGTTTGGAGGAAGAAGAAGGATGAGTACAACCCCAATAACACCATCCCAACCGTGAAGCATGGAGGTGGAAACATCATTCTTTGGGGATGCTTTTCTGCAAAGGGGACAGGACGACTGCACCGTATTGAGGGGAGGATGTATGGGGCCATGTATCGCGAGATCTTGGCCAACAACCTCCTTCCCTCAGTAAGAGCATTGAAGATGGGTCGTGGCTGGGTCTTCCAGCATGACAACGACCCGAAACACACAGCCAGGGCAACTAAGGAGTGGTTCCGTAAGAAGCATCTCAAGGTCCTGGAGTGGCCTAGCCAGTCTCCAGACCTGAACCCAACAGAAAATCTTTGGAGGGAGCTGAAAGTTTGTATTGCCCAGCAACAGCCCCGAAACCTGAAGGATCTGGAGAAGGTCTGTATGGAGGAGTGGGCCAAAATCCCTGCTGCAGTGTGTGCAAACCTGGTCAAGACCTACAGGAAACGTATGATCTCTGTAATTGCAAACAAAGGTTTCCGTACCAAATATTAAGTTCTGCTTTTCTGATGTATCAAATACTTATGTCATGCAATAAAATGCAAATTAATTACTTAAAAATCATACAATGTGATTTTCTGGATTTTTGTTTTAGATTCCGTCTCTCACAGTTTAAGCGTACCTATGATAAAAAATTACAGACCTCTACATGCTTTGTAAGTAGGAAAACCTGCAAAATCGGCAGTGTATCAAATACTTGTTCTCCCCACTGTATATGCACGCATGACTGTAGGTCGCTTTGGATAAAAGCGTCTGCTAAATGGCATATTATTATTATATTATTATTATTCGAATGCTATAGGTCCATAGTCGTATCCAGTGCGTATAGCCATGGTAGCTAGCCTTGCATCACCACTAGGAATACTAGAAGATGCACGTGTCTAGGTTTACCGTTACGCAATTATTAAAGAGGCTAAGGAACAAGGTGCTAATATCTGGCGATCAATGTCAGCATTCAATTAAGTTAACCTTGGCTCAGAGATGCACAGTTAGAGACCGAGCATATATGCTTTGTATATTGTGAATAACATTTACCATTAGACATTTCACCAAATAATAATTCAAGCAATGTCCGACGAATAGAGAATAACACAGTTTCTCTGTAACAATAAATCCATAGAACTTACAATACAATGAAACATATACAAATTCATAGCTCTTTATAAAAACTTTTTGAAAACAATCCAAACATGACAATTTAATTTCACACTAACGTTACATTTAGTCAATTCAAGTTTCAATCAGTCGTCACACCTCTCCTGGCGTCAGTGACACCAGGACTTCCGTGAGAATGTCTCAACCTGGAGATTGCCACGGCGAAGGTGTAACCCTCTCCTGTGGGATGCAAATATACAGCCATCCGTCCGGACAATGCCAAATTGAATCAACACAGCAGGCTGCCAAGCTAGCCAACCACCTCTCATTCTTCCACTACAGCACCACTCTAGTGAGTCCTTGGCTGCACTGACAGAGAAGAGCTTAGGCCTGCCAGAAAGGGACTCATTCATGCCCGACTGAGCCCCGCTCGACGCACCGCCTGGCAGGCAGCAATACCTTCTACTGATATCCTCCTCTCCTCCTTTCTCTATCCCCCTCTTCCGTCTTGATCCTCTCTTCTCCCTCAGTCGTGGCGGCCTCTTGGCCTCTCCTCCTTTCACTATCTCCCTCTTCCGGATGATCTCCGCATGTGTATTTCCCACCGTAAAGCATGGAGGAGGAGATGTGATGGTGCTTTACTTGTGAAACTGTCTGATTTATTTAGAATTC